TTTTTTTGTGAAAAACTAAAGTTCCCCCCACCCCGCAAAAAAAAAGCACCCTAAAATTGCCTACTTTTCTAAAACTCACGGAAAACGGGATTAAATACAATTTTCTCCATTTATACTTTGCAGCCGATGTTTATAAATCACTTATTAGCATGGTCCTCAAACTCGGACCAGACCGCCCGGTTCGACCGGGAACTGGCCATCACACCATTCCGATTTGAGGTGTTAAGCCGTCTGGGCTCCAAACCATTTAAGAATCGGTTGGAAACCGGCAAAGCCGGAACCGGTTCGGATGGCCCAACGGTTTCCAAATTGGGGACCCGACCATATGATGTTGATCGACGATTGAGGCCCAACGGTTTCAAATAGTCCTTCGAATCGCAGTCGCGGGTCTTGGTGGCAGCTCGATCGGACGATTTGATGACCAAATCGGATGACAAATCGTTGTCGTCAGTTTCTTCTTAGCCGGAGGTGAACGCAGAATTGTGAACGCCCGACATCAGCACTGACGCTGACGTTTTTCCAAATCCTAAGAAATCCAAGAGCTGATTTCCATTACAGAGAGAGACGGAAAAAAGGATTTTGATTTTATAGATAGAGAGATTCGAGCTTTTGGTGAGAGAGAGCATAAAAGAGGGGAAAGTTGAACAGATTAGAGAGATTGATACGTTGGAAAAGAGTATATTTTCTGAAGTATTATTTTTGGATGCTTTTGTTTTTTAAGTTAAGGTTATTTTTTTGGATCCTTTTTTTTCTTTTTCTTTTTCAAGTAAAGGTTATTTTTTGGATGTTTTTTTAATTACATTCCTTTTTATTTATAAGTTTTCTTTTATATTTTTATATGTACAATTATTTAGGAATAAAATATTAATTATTGAACTACACTAGAAAATTAATGATAAATATATATATATAATCAAATCCCCCTATATATCCCTTCCCTCTATATATTAATTCAGAACGCGCTGAACCTACGTGGCTGCTTCTGGTGCTTCAGAATCCTATGTGGCAAAATTACATGCTTCGTTATTAGGCTTGGATAAATTTTAATTTAATTCTAAATCAAAAATAATTTGGTTCGGATTACCATAAATATGTTGATTATTTATGGTCATGTTACATGCATTAATTGCATTTTAATATCATTCCTTGTTATAACTATTGAATTGTATATATATTTTAAAAGTTAATAACTTTTGTATTTTTTATCAGTTTTACATATGTAATATATCAAATTAATCTTCTTTTGATGAGCTTCGATTTAACACCCATATTGTATGTATAAAAAATTAATTTATATTTATCTTTATAACAATATTAAAATTATTTTAATATTAATTAAAAAATAAAATTATTTATAAACTAATATATTTATATTTCAAATAGTTATATGATTTAAGTTATAAAAACTAATATAATATAACACATGTAAGTCATAAGTAACACATATCATTCTAAAATATATAATAATATATTTTTTTTGTAAAAAAGTAAACTAAATTTAATATAGTTTTCTCATTAATTTTAAAATTTAAGAATAATTTTTTAACAAGCACCCGTGTAATACACGTGTGTTGTACTAGTATTACATATAACACAAATAAAAAATTATGTATTAATTAAATTGGTTGGACTGGTTCGGCCACTGATCCAATCAGTTAACTATTGAATCGGTAGTTTCAATGGTTCGATTCGAAGACCGGTTCAGTTTTCAAAACCTTGCTTGTATTACTTATATTAGAAACCTAAAACCCTGTCTCCCTGTATCACCGTGCAACAATGGCGCCCGACTCTGCTGAGAAGAAGAAAGCCAAACGAAACTCGCGGAAGCGAGCCCGAGTAGAGTCGGACCAGCAAATTGCACGGCTGAACTCTCTTCCCTGGAGCTCGTCTCTCCCCGAAGGTAACGATGGCAGAGGGGACGATGGTTTTTCTCTCTTCATCGGCTCTAACGACCTTGAAGGAGGTACTCCTAGTGTAGTTATGTTGATTTGATTTCATCATTAGAATTTATAAAATCTTTTACTTTCCGGTCGGTTGTTGAGATTTGTTGGAGTTCGGTGGTTCGTCTCGTTTTAGGTTCCGGAATTTGATAATTAATTTTTTTGCTACTTTTCATTCATAAGATGGAATGTCATTCATAAGATAGAAATGTCGTAAATACAATTGAAATGCTCACCGGTTTGATTTTGTTGAATCAGTTCAAAACTAATATGATTTCTCCTTCGTTTTTCCATTTTAATTTTTCTATTTATTGTTGTGGTTGATTATCTGACCTTTTCTATTGGAAATAAGTTCTCGGACTCTTATCGTAATACATTCCACTAAGTGCAGGATTTCTTACCCTTGAAGAGATTGATGAATCAGACTACGGGTTAGGAATTCCTAGAATTAATTTGGAGAATGAGAGACAGGAGTCGAATCGGGGAAATAAATCAAAGAGGATTAGGCAAAATAATGGTGATGCAGATGAAAGCTGTGGTGGTCAGCTTCATTGTGAGAGTGATGGTAAGGCCGAAGAAAGCATTGGGGAGGATGAGAAGAAGGAAGTGAGGCAGAAGAGCAAGAAGAAAATTAAGAATGTGAAGAAAAAGAAAATGGACCGTCAGAAGAATCGTGAGAAAAGTGAATCGGAACAGACCGAAGAACCAGCTGCAGGTTAGAATTCCATTTACTTCTTCACTTCATATATACTGAATTGGTACTTCTTTTTTCTCAACTGTAGTGGTTAGGGAACATTCTGGATTAACGAGAATGGTGAACAATTTGAAATGTATGTTTTTGCTTAGCCAGAATGTGGTGATGCAGGCGCATGGTATGGTAGTTAAATGTGCATCCAGTCGCTATTGAATTTTGTGTTCAATTAATAGTCATGTTTTAAAATAGTGATGTTATGAAAAAGTGTTCTAATTTATCTGTGTGACTTCATGTGATAAAAATTAAAATGATTGATATTAAAATACCTGTGAAATTCTACTCATATGCTCTCTCCAATTTCTATTGCTGTTATATCCTGAAGACTTAAGTGTCTACATGTCAATGCTTTTCACGCATTTCTTATGATATTGACGATCTGACAATTTCTCTCACTTTCTTCCCTGTAGATTAATAAAGTTCGATTTTTTGCCCACCCTTTCAACACTTGGTTCTGTGTCTTTGCCTTAAGCTTTTTTCAAATGCTTAAGTCTTTGATCTATTTCAAGTTCATCTGTTTAATTGAGTTGGATACTACTCCTTGATTGAAAAAATGCAGATTAACTAACCTGCATTTGCAATATTCATGCTGTTATAGTGAATACTGGTAGAAGATGTAGTCCGTTAGGATTGTATTTAGCAGTGTTGTCAATGGCGGATGGCGGCGAAAAACTGCCATTTATATATGGCGGATGCGTGGCGGAAATTATGGCGGACTAATTATAATATTATATATACGCGTATATATGTATATATTCTAATTTCTATACACAGACACACACATACATAACACCATAGTTAAGCTTAAATAATGTCAATTAATACATAAGAAAGAGCTGAAAATTAAAGCAAAATAAACAAAAAGTAATTTGGCCGGTTCAATTACTTTTCCTTTCTTTTTAGCCCAAAATCTGGGCAAAATCCGCCATTTTACGCCATCAGCGCTACACCGCCATGGCCGCAATGCTCGCGGCGGCCGCAATGTCGCAGTCATTGAAAAGCTGCCACAAGGCAGCCATTACATGGCGGTCAGGGTAAATACCGCCACGCGTTACCGCCATGGCCGCTATTTAACAACACTGGGATTAGTATTACGACAAAAATATGATTCTGAATATCTGCTTTCAGCTTGCAATGGAGAGAATGATGATAATGTTGAAGGCAATTCAGCTGATGAAGAAGAATATTATGCATGGAACGATCTTAGACTTCATCCGAAAATTATGAAATCAATATACAGACTAAAGTTTAAAGAGCCTACTCCGATCCAGAAAGCTTGTATTCCTGCTGGTGCTCATAAAGGGAAGGTTGGGTATCCTATAAAAGATCGACATTTTACTGGTATTGACAACCGATGGGATCTACTAAGGTTATTCGTTTGTCTTGGCAGGACGTGATTGGTGCTGCAGAGACAGGATCTGGTAAAACACTTGCTTTTGGCTTGCCAATTATACAACGTCTTCTGGAAGAACGAGAAAAAGTAGAGAGGCTCATGGAAGAAAAAGGAGAGGCCAATGAAAAGATTGCGCCAAAAGGTGTTCTGCGTGCTCTCATTGTTACCCCTACAAGGGAGCTCGCACTTCAGGTTCTTATGTTTGCTTTCTGTTTTAGTCAATTATGTTTGTGTTTTTTTATGCCTTATCATTACTATTCCAAATAACTTTCTGCCACAAAAAATGGGCACTTTATGCATTCATACATGTTATTCTTTTAAGGTCACTGATCATCTGAAGGAAGTAGCAGTGGGCATGGATATTAGGGTGGTTCCTATTGTTGGTGGAATATCAACTGAGAAGCAGGAAAGGCTTTTGAAAGCACGGCCTGAAATTGTTGTTGGAACACCGGGGCGACTATGGGAACTCATGTCAGGAGGAGAAATTCACCTTTTGGAGGTAAATACTAAACATTTCACTGTTTTATTGATTGCATGGAGGAAGTTTTCTTGATTAACCATTGCCACCGAACGTTTTCAAATTTCAACATGTTGACAATTTTTTGAGAATTCTCTCCCTTGGAGTAATTTGCTCTCAAATGATCAAATCTGTAACTTTTGGGTTTTAGATGCTCACTTTTTTGTTTTTATGTTGTGTTAGATAAGATGTGTTTTTATGTTGTGTTAGATAAGATGTAAACCTGTTTCTGCAAATCAAATCGTAATGCTCTAGCGGCTGCTATGATTTGCATAGCGACAGTATCTCATGGCTGCAGATAAACTGCTACATGCGGATTTGTTAAATTAATAATATATCAAAAAGAATTCTTGTTAACGACAGAGAAACATTCATTGTCTGACTCACCTAATAATGCCTCTTGATAGACCACTGATAATGTGTCTTAGCTAAGTTAGTGCATCCTTTGCTTCATATCATAAATAGGAATCTAATGGATTCCAATTGAAATTTGTTAAGAGGTCATTCCTGATTCAACATGTGAAGCTTTTATGTTTAGCTGAAGTTGTAACTAACTTTAAATTGTTTTGCCTTTTTTCTTGTAAATTACTTTTAAGCATGAATAATCTTGATTCATATATGTTGCAGCTTCACTCGTTGTCATTTTTTGTGCTGGATGAAGCCGACCGCATGATTGAAACTGGTCACTTTCGTGAACTGCAGTCCATAATTGACATGCTTCCCATGAACAGAGAATCATCTGAGAGCCAACCTCAGAATACACAGAACTGTGTAACTGTTGCTAGCCTCCAAAGAAAGAAAAGGCAGACATTTGTGTTTTCTGCAACTCTTGCCCTGTCTGCTGATTTTCGTAAGAAGTTGAAGCAGGGATCTGGTAATTCGAAAAAAGATGGGCTTAACTCGATTGAGACTCTTTCAGAGAGAGCAGGAATGAGACCGGATGCTGCTATAGTAGATCTTACTAATGCTTCAATTTTAGCCAAGAAGCTGGTGGAATCAATTATTGAGTATGCTTTCCCTTATTTACATTTATATATCTGCATTTTAATCTTCGTCAAACGTTTCTTTTCATAGCAAGATGCAAGTCCTATCCTGACTCAGTTGTCTTTCAGAGTTTTACATGTTAATTTTCTCTTGCTTGTATATGAGAGCATTTCATGCGTGGTGTTGCAGGTGTAGGGAAGAAGAGAAGGATGCCCATTTGTATTACTTACTAAGCGTACATGGACAAGGACGAACAATTGTTTTTTGTACTTCAATAGCAGCTTTACGCCGCATTTCGTCATTATTGCGTATCCTCAAGATAAATGTGTGGACCCTTCACTCAGAAATGCAGCAGCGGGCACGCCTAAAGGTTCCTCTGCTCAATTACTTGCATCCTTTGTTATTTTTCACCATCTTCCCAGCTCTATTATCATTGACCAATAGGCCAAGAATACGATTTGTCAGATTCTGCTTGTTTTATTTATTTTGTTTGCTTGACATCTCGTCTAGAATTTCTTCATCCATATACATTCATCAAGGAAGAGCTTAGGTTCTTGTAGATAACTTTCCAAATGTGTAAGGATTGCACGTTGTAAATAAACAGCCCATTTAGTGTAGGTTCTTTGTTCTTAATTATACGTGACTCACTTTCATAGTGATTTGGCTCTAGAAAGAGCAGTTTAATGTGACGGTGGTGTTAAGATTTATAGAGATGACACTGGAAGGGTCAGCTGTACAGCCATTGACAGGTAGGCTAGCTGTGCCCACTCTATGCTCCCACGAATATAAGGGAGGCAAACAGGAAATAAACATCAAATCTGGAATGTTTGGTGTTCAGATGCGTGAAGCAAAGAACATCTGGAGAATCCACATTTGTATCCCAATCATTCTAAAAGTAGCTAGTAAGCTTTTTCTTTTTCTGTGAGAGTCTTGATTCACATAGTAGAAAGAAAATATTATGATTTTTGGTCAAACATCAGGATCGAACTGTGTAAAATGAAATGGATGTTAGAAAAAGTAACACTGCCTTGCTCAATTCTGAAACCTTAGGAATGCTAAATGTAGTAGTAAGTGCAATGAAGCAACACTCAGTCACGAACTTAGGTATGTCCTATATGTCTGAGGGTCTGAAAAAATCTTGGTAATTATGTCGCTTGAATTAACATGCTAGTGTTTGGGCACATGTGATTTGATTTAGGTAAGATTGATTCTTGGTATGTGCTCGGAACATTAATTTTGATTTCTATTTATTTCTGTGAGTAAATTCCCTGCATATATAATTATAGGAGATGAGACCAAATCACTTGTGATATAATGCATGTTATCAATGAAAATTGAGATATTCATTATGAATGTTACTATCAGTTAATGCTATTTTTGAGCCTTAATTTTAAGTCAAAAGAATGTTATCTCTGATTGTTTAAAAAGTAAATCCATCTGAAATGTTTCTTCTAACACGATTAGAGGATCATTTGACTGCTTATAGCTTCATTCGTTTATTCTTTATTTTGGATACAAACTACAAACTTTCAAATCTTTCACACATCTATAACCAAGAAAATAAGGGAGCAACTGAATACATTTTGAATATATTTGATTAACTTCCCCCAACGAAATTTCTTTCCAATTAATTTTCCTTCTCACCAATCAGTTCAACACGTTTTTTAAAATAATCATCAATACATCAATCATTATTAGACATTGTACGTAGATTTTACTATCACCGAAGACATATTTAAACTACTAATCATCTCCAATCACTGCTTTATTTTTTTCATCCTAAAGCATCTTTCAATGTTAAAATTTTTTAAAGCCTCAAAATTTATCAGTCTCTTTGAAAATACAGTTCTTAACTATCTCCAATTGAAAAATCCCATAACTGAAAGTGTATATAATTGCACCCTATTGAGTGTAATTCTCTGTATTTCCTGTTTTGCTTTTGGTTTTATCTGTCAAATTTTAGTTTGGATCAGAGCATTGATTTGCCTTTTGTTAGTAAATGGAATGTAAAATCTGAAATTAATTTGTTTGTTGTTTGCCTTACATTCAATGCAGTCTGTGGACCGTTTCCGTGCTAGTGAACATGGAATACTCATCGCCACAGATGCTGCCGCGCGAGGGCTTGACATTCCTGGTGTCCGTACTGTTGTCCATTATCAGCTTCCACTTTCGGCTGAGGTAAACATTGTGCAATTGTGTCATATCTTTCTTTCCATCCTAGCGCCTGCCGTTTTTAAGGAAGGATAAGTTTATTGGTGCAGGTATATGTTCATAGATGTGGAAGGACAGCTAGAGCCTCTACTGATGGTTGCAGCATTGCTCTTGTCTCGCCAAATGATGCGTCAAAATTTGCAGCTCTGTGCAAGTCATTTGCAAAGGTAATTGCTAGATTTAGAGTGGTAACCAGGGAGAATGATTGTAGTTTTGGATGTATACACGTCTAATGGTTTTAAAAGGCCAAAAATAGGATACAAATGTATATACCATGAGTTTGGGACCACTTTTTTTTGCTTCCATTGTGGGCACTTTAAGGATTTAATTTACACTTTGAAAAATGATGTCAATGCTTCCCTCCTTGCCCTAGTCACGGTCCTTGATTTGAAGGTTGAATTGTGAAGGTGCATTTTCTATAGTTTGTATCAAACTCTGAATATTTTAGAGGTTATATAAGATGATGATTCAAAAATTGAACTTTGATGGTTGCCTTAACAATTCTTAATCATAGTGTATGAGAATCTATATTTTTTGGTTAAATTGTTCTGTTTACTTGCGCTAGTTAATTCTTATGTAATGTAATCCTCCAAATTGTTTGCCGTTTGTTAATGTAGATTTTGTTTCATATCTCACCTGTCCGTTTACTTGACAACTTTTTGGGGGATGTGGTATGAAGTAATGGATGACTTTTTACTGAACATATTAAAGTAGATTTTACGAAGGGGTTTGTGTTATGTTAAAAGTCTGTGATGCCAAGTTTTCCTGCAAGATATATTCACTGTTATTTTTTATGTCTCGAGTACCTCCTGCGTTGCTGTGGCCTTTTGTTAGTCTCCGTCTTTTTGGTTTTGGATAGATTCTAGTGTTTGTAATGTGGTCTTCCACAGAGTTTCCTATAACAGTTATATATTAAATAATGTTTAAGATGAAAAAATCTGAATGTTGTATATTTTTTTTTTATATAAGTCTCTGATAATATAACCTTGGTTGTTTTCCAGGAAAGTTTCCAGCGTTTTCCTGTTGAAGTATCTTACATGCCTGAGATTATGAAGAGATCATCTCTTGCACATCAAATAGACAAAATTTTGCGGAAGGACTCCCAGGTAATTGCAATTGCAGGTCTTCTAATAAGTTCTCTCTTTCTGTTAGTATCATTTTCTGTCTGTGTCATGGGGTTGGAAAAAAAGCAATTATCTCTCATAGATTAGGCTTTCCCTTGTGGAGTCACCCACTTTCCGAAAGGAATGATAGCATTAAGGATGAAAGTGAAGAGAGCTGTGGATGATGTCCCGGCTGGAGAGTCAACCTTCTATAAAACCTCAATTACTAGCGTTTTTATGTACTCAGTCCCACTGATATTTGCATGTTTTTGATAACTACGAATGATACATAAACCATGTATTTGCATGTTTGAGCTATGACTTCTCATTTAGTTTGTCATTAGGCGATAGTAAAAGATAAGTTTCCAAAATCTTGCTCCGTGTTCACCCTTTGCTAGCACCTAGTAATTCCGATTCTAGTAATTTTTTATAATTGGTCCACTAACTTGGTTTACTTATGTTTTAACTATATTATAAGCCCTATACTAAAGGACTTAAGTCTGTATATATGGACATCTTCATATGTGAATGTATTATTCATTCAAAACTGGTTCTAAGGTTCGTAACATGGCATCAAAGCCAACTAAGGTACTTTTGTCTTATAGCATTCGGATCTCATCTCCCATACCAACAGCCTCGCCGCGACGCCGCCCCAGGATTGGCCTTTCGGTCATTTTTTCGCTGGAGTCCACGCGTGTAGGTCCCACGCGTCATAGGACCATCCTCATACGCCGGCGTGTGTGGGTGCGTAGTTTGCCTGCTTTTTTCTAGCGAACGACTGTCGTCTCAAAATCTTGTGGGCTTTTTTGGCAGTGTTGTTCGTTTTGTGTTTTGGGCGGCTTGGGAGTTTTGTTTGGCATTTTTTTAGTGATAGGCCGATATAATACACCATTCATGTATGTAGGCTTAGTTAGTGGACCAATTATGAAATTTTTCCTAGTAATTCCTGTACTTGCTTCCACCTTAGTAAATGATCTCCCTTCCTGAATTACCTTTTAGAATGATGAATTGTCTGTTTTATATGCTTTAGTTCACTTTTATCTCCCAGGAAATGGTTAATTCACCATTCTTCTTTCTAAAAATAAGTCCTGACCAATTATTTGCCAGGTGAAAGCTGAAAAGAGTTGGTTGGAAAGAAATGCTGAATCCATTGAACTGGTTTTGGAGGACAATGACAGTGAGGAGGATAGAGTGAAGAAATACAGGCAAAATAAGAACAAATCAAATCAGCTGAACAAGTTGCAGCAGGTCTGTGTTTAACAGAAGTGTTCTCACTTAATTGATCAACTTGTTTCATGTAAATGCCTCAGAAGTATAGATAGATGGAGTTCATTGGGATAAATATCTTATTGGGACATGTCCTGCCATAAAATTTCAGGAGCTCAACTCATTACTTTCCAGGCCATTGCAACCCAGAGCATTTTCAAAACGATATTTGGCAGGGGTAAGTAAAACTACCCGCTCAAGAGCGTTCATTGTCTGGTATAGTGCATAACCTCTCACATATCGAACATTTGCATTCGGATAAGGTAACTTGTGTCTGGATTTTTCTTGTGGTGGTACATTGATAATTTTCTCCGGTGGCTGTTTCACTTTCTTGATTCACTATATGCAAATGACAGCTAGGCTGGCATTATTTGTTTTACAATTTAGGCAACAGTAAAAGATTTAGTAGATGATTGAAGTAGGTGTTATCTGCACATTTATATTTACTGTATAAGTGAGTTTTTTAATGATCGATAGAACTATATTAAAACCAAGGGTCATTTCTATTTTGATCACATCAAACTACCCAGTATATCAAAACGTATGTCGAATACCTTGGTTGAAAATTTTATATTAGTCCATTGATCCGAGTCTGGAAAATTGCCAGGCTGGTGTCACTCCATTGCTTCAGCATCAATTTCAAGAACTATCAAAACAGAAACTTGGAGGTGCAAGTAATTTTGATCCAAATAAAAGGAGAAAATTAGTGGTTATTGGTCAAGATTGCGTGGAGCCACTTGAGGCACTGAGAAATGCAAGTAATGAGGTAAGCCTGCAAAATGCTCAGGCAAAGTTGTTCTTAGTGTGTATTATGAGTTAAAATTTAAATAAACAACCGTTCAAATACCGAATGTTGTATCTCTTGTTCATGAACTGGAGTTGAAGTCAAGCTCAGTTTCTTTTTGTTTGTATGATAGCATATTGTCTCCATATCAACTCAAATTTTGGTGCCCCGTATTATCAGGCGTGCTTGGATCTGAAAGAGATAGCAGAAAAGCAAAAGAATTCAGACAGCTTGAGAAGGAAAAGAAAAGAGATGAAAAAACGTATCACCATTTGTCAATTTACATATATTGATTATTGCAATGAAATAATTCCATTTGTCCTTGAGTAATCTTTTATGTTACTGGGCTAAATAACCAGGTTTGCATGAGCAAAGGCGGAAACACAGGAAGAAGATGAAACAAAGAGAAGGTTAGCATGCCTGATGGTGTTGTATCCTTCAGCAAATGTATTCGGTCTATGACAATAGCCACTTTAATATACATAGTTGGTTTATTTATTTTTGCTTTTCCTTTGTTGAAATCAAGTTCCTAAATACAGCAACAATGCAGTCTGTTGATTGTGTTTTCTTTTTCATTTTTTGCAGAATATTTTTGTAGTGAATTTCCTTTATTATTGTTTTCGTCATTATTTTGTGTGTATCTAGATTGTTTGCCAATATAAAAATCCTCAATCTTATTATTTTGTGCTTTTTTTTTGTGTTTTTCTTATATATGTTTGCCATATATATGTTCTGATGCGTTAGGTTGATGAGTACATAGGGATTATTATGTAAACCTGCAAGTGGATTTTATACTGTGTAATAATAAAATTGAATGATGCTATAGAACAAGTTGATTAATTAAATTGTCATTAATTTAATTAGTTAATGGTAATTTGATACCTTAAAAGTGGAGACAGTGTTTTGTGACCCGGACCGGCCCGGCGGGTCGACCCGGGACCCGGTCGGCCCGGAGCCAAAACCGGTACGGGTGGGTTAATTGGACCGGGCAACAACAGTCCCGGTCAAACCCGGTCAAAACCCGGTCGACCCGGTCTTGACCCGGTCGACCCGGGGCATTGACCCAGCTGGGTCAACCCGGTTGACCCGGTCTATATGTATTTTTTTTTTTGTTTTTTAATTTTCTTTTTCTTTTTAAAAAATAAAATTATGTATATATATATATATGATAAATATATACATATTATTACTATTTTAATCTACAAATTTTACATACAAAATATTTAAATTTGTTATTTTTATGTATATTTGTATATCACAAAATACTCTATATATAATTTTATAAATTTTAAAATTAATTATTCGGTTCAGCAATTGACCCGGTGACCCGGCGGTTGAACCGGTGACCCGAAGACTTTGCCCGGGTCAATTACCGGGCCGGGTTTAAAAACTATGAGTGGAGAGATAAATGAGCATATAATAAATGTAGTTCATATACTATTTGAGTTTAAGAAAGTTGGTGCAATCGCACGTTTGTTAGGCCGGATGGGACGATAAATTTTATCTTGTTAACCAAGATTGCATTGTAGAGATATGATTTATACTATAGTTTGTTATGTATGATTGACATAAGATAAGATTTTATAGATTTTTTTTTTTTTTT